GTACGCGCCACCTCGAGAAGAAGCACCCGGCCAAAACCCACATGGCCAGACAAGCCGCCGCCATGGCCCAGGCAAAACTCCCAGTCCCAAAGCCTTTCGACCCCATCAACCAGCCTATGCCCATGGGGATGATTCCCTCCCCCAGGCAGGCCCCGACCAGGAAGGTGCTGGTGCTCCACATGGTCACCTGGTACCCTAGGGCTTCTGGGAGGAGCATCATGGTGGGAAAAATGGAGGAGAGACCCAAACCGAAGACGACGCTGGCCACGGCGGCGGTCCACAAGGTTTGGAAGGCGAAGGTGAGGAGACAGATGGCTCCCAGGGTGCTGAGGCCGAGCTGGAGGAGGAGGGACGGGACGGGGGGGAGGCAGGTGGCCAGAGGGATGGCAAGGAGGCGACCGAGGGTGATGGCGCCCCAAAACATGGAGACGGAGTAGGAAGCGACGGGTAAAGACTGGGTGAGCCCCTGACGGAGGAGGACGGTGGCGATCCAGCCCCCGTACCCAACTTCAATGCCGACGTAGATGAGCAGAAAGAACGACACGCCCGCCTGGAGGCTCTTGGGCAAGGAGGCAAGGGGATAGGACGCCGGCGGAGCAATGGAGGGCTTGGGGGAGGCCGCTTGGGCATGTGCGAGGACCGTGCTGGGTACAGATGTGGGTCTCCCGAGACCTGCCTCCCTGTCGCGGAACGGCCTGGGGAGGGTCTCCCTCTCCTTCCTAGAGCTCCCCGGCTCCTCCTCCCTTCCCTCCTCGCTATGGTGGGCTCCGTCCCTCAACAGCGGGAGGGTTGCTTCCCCCCACAAAACTTCGCCGTCGCCTGTCCTTCCCGTCCCCGCCATCATCAGGCCGCCGGCCCATAGGACGAGAGGGAGGAGCGCGATGCTTGCCCAGAGTCGGAAGGCCAGCACGTAACCCAAGGCACCCACTGCGGCAGGAGAAGCCACCGCACCGATCCCAAAGCAGGCGTGCATAGCTTGCATGAGCGGTTCCACGTGTGGGCTGCCCCCCCACAGCTCGAGCACCACCGCATTTGCGGCCGTATCCACACACCCCAGACCCAAGCCTTGCAACACCATCAGGACCAGAAACCCCGAAAACACGTGCGTCCAGACGATCCCCAAGGTCGCCAAGCCTGCCAAGAGGCTTCCCATCACCACCACCAGGTGTTTTCCCTTCGAACATCGGGTGTCGAGCACCGACGCCAGCACGGCCCCCGTCAAATAGCCGGCTCCGCGACATGTGAAGGCGCTACCAAGTTGAGTTTCGTCGCGGCACCCCAGGTGGACGGTGAGGCTTGGAATGGCGGGCCCCGTCACTCCGACCAAGCCCCCCAAGGAAAAGAAAGAGATGCATGCGATGACAGTGATGAGCCCCACGCCCCGTGCCGGACGAGGATACGAGGCTGGTCTTGCACGACAGACGGAACGCCGGACGCCCTCTTCAATCTCCTCGCTGTACATACATCCCCTCCCCCTGAGGCGTGCGAATCGCATCCCTGCATCCTCTGCGACCACGGCGGCTGGGGCTGTTGTGGAGTTTGAAAGTTGAAGGCCACCAAGTGTCTTTGTCTGGGTGGATGGGGGGATGTTTGGGAAAGAGGAAGGGAGGGCGGGAGGGCTAAAATGAGTGGGGTCCAGGACGAAAAACGCAACGTGAACGCTCTTGGCACAGAGACGCGTCTTCCGATGCTGGAATGGGGATGACGAATGACGGACAGTTTCCTTCTTCGCCTTTCAGCGAGCCCGGCATAGGCCTGATCCAAATGCGACATTCAGGTACCCGTTTATACACCGCTGACCGCCCGTGCCAAGCACAAAATTCAGGGTCGAACAAGCATCAGTCCAAGCGCAACAAATTCCCTCTCCCCGCGTCAGACGCCTCCATTTCCTTCCCCGGATGCACCCGATTTCCTCCTGAATTTTCCTTCCCTCCTTACGTCCAGAGCCTGAACACGCATAGAGATACCTCCCCTGACACCGTGCCATCCTACAGCACGTGCTACCCCGTCCAATTCACCCCCCTTCTCCCCCGGCGCCCGATCCTTCCCTCCCTTCCCGACGCCTCCCCCCAGTCCTTTCATCCCCCCACATCCACACCGATACCTGCCCCGCACGTGCATCGATCCCCTCCGTCCCCATCTAACCCAACCCGATAAAAATCTTCGTCTCTCCTCTTTCTTCCCACCCTCTCCTTATCCCCGTCTTTATCTTCCCGCCTACCCCCACTTCCTCCCCTTCCCCTTGCCCAGCGCAACCCTCAATGCTCCCTGCCTGCGTCGCGCCATTCCCCCCCTTTCTGCGCAGCCAACAGAAGCCCCATGTTGCGGGTAAGCCTCGTCTTCTTGACAACACCACCGGGCGGGAACCGGTGGCGAGAGAAGGGCTCGGCCCCCGGCCCTTCGGAAAGATACCCGGAAAATGGAAAGGCCCACGGGCCTTCGCCACCTCCATCCCTGGCGCGAAACAATGGAAGCACGGAGGAAAATTCCTCCGTAGCCCTTTCCATTCTCCCACCAATGTGCGTGCAGGTAGTACGGGAAAAAGGGAATGCGATGGGCAGATCATCCCCGCAGGAACCGTCCTGTCGTTGTGGCCATTTCCCATCCCTTGGCGCAAGTGATGGATGTGGAGGCCACCCCTTAAGGTGAAGGCAAGGCAGACGCGCCGCTTCTCGTCAGGGATCCCCGCGACGCCCGCATCAGATGGGTTCCCACCTTTACAAACAATTGGCCGTTGACGGTCGAGACCATGGCATGTGTTGCATTAGGCCCGAATCTTCTGAGGTTCAGTGTGCGCTCCGAATCTTGGGAGATTCCTGCCCATCTTGTCGAGGGCCGGGTCGACAGGAGGCGCCACGGCCGGTGGAAGCCGCTTAGTGGACCCATCGAGGCCAAAGACTTCCCGGCGTCCAACGAAATTATGTTATGAAGGAGCTGATCTGAGCTTGCAGACACCTTAAGACTCGTGCTCCGGTCGGACCATCCTCAAGAACTAACCCGCCTTGAACGATGACGCGCGCGGCTCTCGACGTTCTCGCTCACTCTCTTTTCTTCCCGCCGTACCCAAACAACCACCCGACGGCCCCACCGATCGCCGCGACGCTTGACGTTACAATTCCCCCCTTTCCTGCCGTTCCTCCCCCCCTTCCTCCTACACCCTGCCCCCCCGTGCTGCCTCCCCGGGTGTGTGGACCCCCCCCATTGCGACGAGAGGCATGCCCTGCCCCGTCCAGGATGGTCTCGATGAATTCCTCCGTCTCCACCTCCGGGGCCTGTGGGTCCGAGCGGCCCCGCCGCCGCGCTTCCTTCTTGACGTTGGCAATGTCGACCTGCGCGCAGGAGACGAAAGCAGGTCCAGGGGAGGTTAGAGGAGGACAAGAGGGGGCATGCAGGGTCAGAAACGCCGCTGGGCGGGCAGGGAGAGAAGGGAAGGATCCCAGCCACATAGAGGTCGACAACAAGCGGGTCATCGCAAGGGGGAAGAACGGTCGTGGAAAAAAATGGATTAAAATTGGGTGTGGGCCTGTCTAGAGAGGGTTCAACCAACCCCCCGAAGCTTTGGCTCGGCGCCACCCAAGAGTCCCGTCCTGCAAAGAGACACCCTCCGCCTTCCCTCCCTGCCTCCCTCCCTACCTTCATCTCCACGCTGGAGGATGCGTAGCCCACGGTCAGGAAGATGGCAAGGATGGGGATGACCACCATGAAGGCCAAGACAGGAGAGACGAGGGCGGAGACAATGATGGCGAGCAGCCACCCGAGCAGCAGCCCCCACAGCCACCACTTCACGATCAACGCCGCGTGTTTTTTCCCCGCCGAGACCATTTGTTTCTGGTCTTTGTGCAACGTGGCGACAGCCTGGTCGGCCCGCAAGCGCCGCGCCTCCGCTGCTGCCGTCTGAAATTCCAAGTCTTCCATGGTTTCTTGTATCTCAAATTCCAGCTGTTGAAAGGCAGGGAGTCATGCGCAGACATCCGGGTGCAGAGACAGGAACAAGAGAGGGATTGAGAGTGGTCCGGGTAAAGGGAAGTTTCCGAAGAGCAGGACAACATACCTTGCGCACGACCTCCTGCATGGCCCGAATTTGCTCTTGCATGTCTTCCGCAAGGAGTGTATCGTCACGCATGCTGCCACGCTCCTGAGTGACGGCATAGACAATGTGTGTTGGAACAGGTAGAAAAAATTAGAACCAACGGCGGCATACTGGAGGGAAACGGCATGACTGTTGCGTCGACTTAAATCAGGAATATGACCATGAAACCTGTTTTATTGGCAGGTCATACGACCTTGCTTTCGCCTTCTATCACAAGCAATCTTTCCAAATCTTTTTTATTCCGTAAAGAGATCATGGTATGGTAGATAACAAGTTGCAGAGAGAGCAAGAAAACACTGGCACGACACAAATGCAAAAGGGGCATGTCAAATAAGCGTAGAAAAGCGCCCTCGACATGTCGAGAACTGATAACGAAGTGTATCCCGAACAAAAATCTCACACACAAGAAAGATTTTCCTCCGCATGACATATTTCTCTTCTTTATTTTCCCAAAAGCCCGGGTCAGGGTCAGGGGCAGGCATGGGGAGGTCGACTTGCTCGCTGATTTCGGTCCACAAATGGTGCGCGGGAGGGGAAATACTACATCGCAGCCACCAGGTTCCCGGTTGATCCATCCTCGCATCCTTGCGGTGTGCCTTATACGTACTTTGGTACGCTCGCAAACTGCAAACTTCTCTCATGACTAAAATGCGCGCGTACGAGCTTCACCGGGGCTTTTTCGCGCCAAAAATTAAAAACCGCTGGGATACAAACAATCAAGCCGCTCTCGCATTCTTACTTACCAATGATTTTGTAAAATACATTAAAATTTTCGGAGAGCACGGGGGGTCATGAGTGGTTTCCGAATGGAACAAGTATATACGCCGGGGCATTCCCCTAGCCTCCTGCTAGTACATGGATCATCGCGCAGAA